ATACCTATAATCTATATTATATAGTATTATGGTATACTTAAATACTATGTATACATAACTCTACATATTATATTTTTTATTTTAACTATATTCCTAGGCTCTTTCTTAATTTAAGTGTTTCCATGGCTCACTTAGTATACTCTACTGCACTTTTACAGTCTATAATAATATCAATTTTACCATTTTCGATGTTATGCACGGAAATTGTACATATTTACGTAAATTTAAACTACGAGTATTATAATATGTTAGCGAATATATGACAAAAATGTATAATAAAGACTTCAAAAATAATAAATAGAACTTTTTTTTGCGTTTGACGGACATTTTTTTTTCCAAAGTCACTAAAACTATCCAAAAAATGGTTGTTACGCTGTGTAAAAAATAAACCTAGATATCATTATTATTCATGTTTGCGCGACACGAGTTTACGCCTTGAAACTTTATTGGTCTCCAGGCGTAAATTCGCGAAATATACCGACACAGCTGTTCTCATTTTTTAAATCACACTCCATCACGCCCTGCACACAATCGGCGCACGACCACTCGRCGATTCGAAATAATATAAATAGTAATCGTATGCACGCTACTTCTGTACGACCGCGACTTGTGCATATTTTCCAGAGAGTAAAAAAATTATTTTTGTTCTATCAACGTGGTCCGAGACAAGTGTCCGACTACATGAACAATTTATAATGTATCATTATGATACATTGCGATTGTACTATTGTTATTTTATATTATAATCACTATTGTTTGTTCTTCGACTAACTGTAAATAATTAAATAATGCGTTTCACTATGCAAACACGTGCACTAATTATAAAGGGAATTAAATATACAAGGGTTTCCATGTGCATTTGTGTGTGTCACGACAAAAATAACGTGAGAAAAAAAAACTACCTAAATAAAAATTTAAAGATGAAAACCCTAATTATATATATATATATAAAAAAACACTGAATGGTATGCCAGAAGGCACCGCGGAAATGTTTATACGAATATTAACATATTGAATAACTATTTACCATGGCTATTATATCTACAGTACCTATCACAAAATATTTTTATTATTTTATATTTGGTCCATAATCGCCTTGAAAAACATAGCAATAATTTATTTTCACATCATTTCGGTTAATTTACGACCGGCCTCAAAATAAGACAATACCGACTGTAAGGTAAACAATATTTACCAGGCACCCAGTCGAAAGTGACTTAGATACAATAACTTATTTTTATTCAATTTTTCGGGCGTAATAACTAGGTATTAAGTATTATAACACCCGACCGAGTATATTTTAATTAACTTAAATAATTGTATTCTTGGTTATATACTATACATCTATACAGTACCCTTTTTGACCGGAAAAGCGACGAATACTTAATGTCTAAAAGCAATAAATAGTTATCAAAATATTTGAGGTAAGTTTTCAAAATTTATTATACTTAAATATTCATCTCCTACACAATTAATTTGAATTCTACCTCATTGTGCTTCAGTAAGCAGAGTTTGTGTTATTACCATGAAAGTATAGGTATCTACGTATAATATTGTTTATCCTATTTATTTTTTATTTGTTTTTATTATTATCCTGCTTACTTTGAAATTTATAGCGATGGCTGGTTTTATGAAAACTCTATCAGGTATGAATTTATTATAAATATTTCAGAAGATATTTAAAATGAATATATAATCTCACATGGTTACTAAATTTTGAACAAAGTTTCCATTTTAATTAGCAAAAGAATTTGCTGGTATTTTAAAGGCATACGTCACGCCAGCACTCCAAGTTTGGAATTGTTGTGCTTTCACAAGATTTAGTAACGAAATGTAACCATGATAAATTGTTTTGTACATTACAAAGAAGTTCAGAATTCCAATCGCTAATATTGGGTGAAACTTGACGTTATTCCAGCATTACGGTACCCTTCATAACGATTTTATTTTTTTACATAACATTTTTTTTAATATTGTACCTAAACATTTGCTGACCATAATATGTATGTACTTCAAAATTCTAGGCTCTAGATACTTTATTTAACTCGAAACCATTTTAAGTGCCGCCAACACCGTGGCATTACGAGATGTCGTAATTTTAAATTTAAATTATTAATTTATAATAGTTTTTACGTACACAATATACATAATAAACATTTGTATTTGAAGCCTTTAATAATAAAAAAAAAAATATATATATATACATAATATTCGTTTGGTATATATACATATAATTTATAACTAATGTTACCAAATCCAACATTATTGGTTTTTTCGTCAAAATAATAAATATCGATTTTAAGGAGTTCATTATTAAACAATATTTCATTGTAATGACTATTGAGTAAACGTGTACAGGTTATAAGTCAACACTCAACTTTGTACAATATTATTAATTACTTATGATATGTTACGGTTGTTTTTCTGAAAAATTTCACTCTCTTGATTACTTATTTTATGTGCCATTATTAATTCCCTAGATTAAATACTCTATAAAAGTACTTTTCCCTGCAGTGTCTGGACGTGGCGTCTAACGCGAACTACCGGTCCGAACATTGGTCGGCGTCTCGACGTCACTACGCCGTGTTATTCCGCTATTGTTTGAAGTTGCAAAGAATCCGTATCTTTGCACATAAAACTAAATGGAACTTAAAACAAACAATAACAAAGGAAAATAGTCATTTCATTATATTGTTACATCAAAGTAAAAACTTAAAAATACGATAAACACGTAAAACGTGAAATGTATTCATGTTTCTACCTGTCGAACTAAAGTTAGATCTGAATTCATTCTATATAACTGTTGTAACAACGTTTAACTGAATTATGCGAAATCAGTAGCAGATATGGTGATAGACGGTATTAGTAAATTTAATCCTATCGTGGTGATACACATATAATTCATACTAAAATATTAAATAGAATCCTTGGCAAAATGGAAATTAACTGGTTTGAAACAAACGTTAACGTTTGGAATTAGTATTGTTATTATATTATAATGGACGATAATTCATTGAATTATTATCAATATTTAAATAAATCGTAAATAACAGAAGACTCACTTTTATGCCCATTCATATACAAAGTATATATTTGTGGACTATCTATTCTTTTCAAAAGATATTGCACATGCTATGATGATTTTTCAAGTAACTAAAAATAATCATAAGATACCTACGACAACACTATACTTAGCTATCATCGAAATCTGAAATGTAAGATTTAACATTTTCGACAATATATAAAATAATAATATTTGCTATTTACACTATAACAAACCAATCTCGAGAAATTTGGTCGTCAATAAGTTTTAAAAATTTGATCATTCTGTAAAATGAGCCATATAATATGATCAACTATCATGCTTCAAATATATTTTAATATAATTTTAGCTGATTTACAAATTCGACGACGATTTTCCTTTCTTTTATTGACTTTTAGGTTCATAATATGATTTAACCATTCCGGAATTGTAGTTTTTATCCAATGTAACAGTTGTTTCAACATAAAAAATTACCTATTTCATTAGACCCGTAACCTTGCGAAGATGTTATCGACTAGGTAGACGTAGAACTATATGTATAAACTTAAGTTTTGTTACACCAACTATTCAAGAAGGACTAAGACCATGGGCAGATAGGCCATTTTTGGCCTACCGGAAAATTTTAAAAAGGGGCCCCCCACATGAAAAAAAAATTAATAATACGTGATATTAAAGACCCCCTTTACCGAAATACGAAGGGGGGCCCATCGGGAAACGCCCGGTAGCCTGGTAGGCTTATCCGCCCTTGGCTAAGACATAATAAAATGTTTCAACCAATATTCACTTAATTTATATTCACTAACCACTCTTAAGAGGACGCTACGCCCGCATGTGTTGTCTCCGTCTTACAAGTACGTAACATTGCAAAAACTGTTTAGCGCGGGAAAGAACCGARAAGGCTACAGTCATAACTAAGAAACGAAATTCTCACCACAGATAAAAGGGAATTTCGACTGTGCAACGTTGTTTTTATTTTTTTGATATTAGAACTGAAAAAAAAGTTATTCGATTTTGAAAAACGCAATAATAATGAATTTTGAAACAATAAGAACTTTTTTTTCTATTTGTGATATCGAAAAATTGAAAACAACGTTGCACAGTAAATGTTCTCCTTATTATGTGGTGAAAATTTCGTTTCTTAGTTATAACTGTAGCCTTCCTGGTTCTTTCCCGCGCGAAACAGTTTTTGCAATGTTACGCACTTGTAAGACGGAGACAACACATGCGGGTGTAGCGTCCTCTTAACACCAAACTTCAAACGCGATAAACACAAACGATAAATTTTAATGAAATATATCACTTAAAACAAAATAATCTCTAATTGTATTTAAAAATATAAATTAAATTTGAATTACGATACTGAAATTAACAAATTGTCAGTTGTCACTATGCATACCTACTCCCATACCAATAAGAGTAGGTATATAAAATATATTTTAATGTAAAGCTGGTATTTTTTTCCAATTCAAACTCTAATAATTGCTTTAGATGGCATATAACAGGTATAAAAGTAGATATACTACACTAATTTATTACACTTACATTGTCAATCAAATATTCACGTCTATAAAAAAATATGCTTATGATTGCAAATAATTGCTAATATAATCGCATACACCTAAATACACCTAAGACAGGCAGTGGCCTACATGACAACTCAATATTTGATTTCAATTTTTAGTCATTTTGTTTGTTGATAAATTGAATATTACTACCAAGTATCTACTGTTGATATTTGAAAACGAAATCAATGTTAGTGCCTACACTCAGTATTATAGAATTACATAATATCATTCATTAAACATCTAAACAATTATTTTATTTAATACATAATAAGATTATTGATAACACCAATAAATCTGATGAAAGTCAATCGAAATGATGGCATTGTCTTTATTGTATTAACTATTAATAATAAAAATATTACAATTAACATTTATATTTGTAAATGTTTCAGGTACCATCATTTAATGGTTCCAGTTACCTGAGGCATCCCGCTCTGGGTGACTCGGCTCTTTCATGGTTGGATCTGGATATTGTTTTCAAAAGTCAATCGATGGATGGACTGATACTATATGAAGGTTACCAAAAGTATGGTTCAGCTGATTTTATAAGTGTTTATATGATTGATGGTCACGTAGAGTTTACATTCGATCTAGGCACGGGAACCGCATCGTTAAGGTAAAATATAAAATAAAATTTACTATTAAAAAAAAATATTTATTTTAATGTCACAAAATGTACCCCCACAGCGATGTAGTTAAATTGCCTATTTATTACGCCGTGTAACCATAAATCACTTTTAGGTATTATATTATTGTTATGATAAGATAATATTAATATTATACATTTTTAAATATGCAATAAATTATTTATTTATGAACCTAACTCTTGAAAGAAAATCAGTTATTTTTATAACTCAATCCATTAAACAATATAAAAAAAAAATGGCGTTTTCCAAATATCAAATTTCCCATATTATTATCAGCTAAGAAATCAATGMTAATTTATTATGAATTATAGTTTACTTAACAATACAAAAATAACTAAATAAATAAACACTATGATCATTATTAGTCTATCTAATAATCACACATAGATTTTTTCATGTATTTTATTAATACAAAATTCTCCATAAATTAATAAAATCATTAACAATATACGTTCATCATAAGATACTATATCCTTCACTCAATATGTGTTATGATAACATTTTGAATATAATTTAATTGGGAATTATCGAATAATACATAGAAACTGCATTTTAATTATTATAAATATCATTAAGCTAAAATGTATTATAATGTATAATATTACATTATATTTCAATTAGATTTGATACATTTCCATTGTATTACTCAATAGAATGAAACATTAGTTATAATAGTCATATCTCATAAATAAATATAAATATGATATTATTATTCAGAAACACATGACATACATAATATTTATATAATATAAAATATATAAATTTATTTTTTCTATATTATACAAAGGGTCTCTGTCCCTGCTTTCTTCACTCACCAACCCCTCTTCGATATGTTTCTACGAGCTGAGAGTTTATAACTACCTCGTATATAAAAATACAATATATTTCTATCTATATTAAAATTTAAAGAGAACTTTAATATTGGTTGCTATAGTAATAATTATTTGACGAAACTATTTTAAACTTTTTTATATAATTGAATGATACAAATCAGTGAAAATTGTTTTAAAAACATTAAGTTTGGATAGTTTTTTATATTTATAAATTTAATTAAAACATAATTAGTTTTTAATTATGTTTTATAAGACATTTTTATCTCTAATTTAATTTTATATAGGAATAATATAAATTTATAATGTATAGTACAGAGTATATGATAAAATAATTATATTATTGAATTATTGAATTATTTGCTTAACTCATTAGATATCATTAGGTCTAAGATTTTAATCCCACATACTTCTATCTACTATCTAGTTATAAAATCATATCTTTGTGATCTCCACTTCTCTTTGCGCTCAGGAAAAACTTTTCAAATATTTCTAAAATAGAAGCCGATGTCCCGCAAGGTGCAATTATTGCACCACTCTTTTTTAACATCTACGCAGCAGACCAACCCAATACTCAATACAAAATGGTAACCGACTTCCCAGACGACAAAGCACTACTTGCATGCCACATTGACTCAGACATAGCTGCCTCTTTTATGCAAATACATTCTAGTCATACTTGACTTACTAGCCTCATGGTATACAAAATGTGGCCTGAAATTAAACCAAACGAAATCGCTCCAGTCTACCATCACACTACGCTCCAGAGACTGTCCACAACTATTCCTCAATATTCAACCTCTACCCTACTCTTAAAACGTCAAATATCTTGGACTAACCCTAGACCATCGGCTCACATAGGCTCTTCATATGCGGTCCGAACATGTATCGCTCAATGATCATAGCCGCCAGCTGCGACACCTACTGACTTTTAAACATTTGATCTGAACAACAAGCTTCTTATATACAAAATGCTAATTAAACCAATATGAGTCTATACTTCTATAGTATACAGCTCTGGATAATAATCCAAAATTCTAAGACAAATCACTAAAGCACCTTATTACGTTTCCAATCACACACTCCATTATGACCTCTCCATACCCTTTGTTATAGACGTGGCTAAAACACTCTACGAAAGATTCTATAACCGCTTCTTAAACCACAGAAACCCACTTATGTATCTCTTCCTTGACTATCCCTGGAAATCCTCCCAAACAGCTAAAGCGCAAGTGATGTATATAGAAACCTACTGACAAACTAATTCAATCTTTATATTTTCTTTATATTATCTTTGATTTAATTATTATTTTATATTTTTACGGAGCAAATCATATTTTCTAAAAAAAAGTTGTTGCTTATGTGTGCACATACATTTCATCATTTCACGTACAAAAATGTGTTGAAATTGTTATTCTTTTTATGAAACCAATGTAAAATATGTTTATGTAATAACTGGTCCTTCAGAGTATTAAGTTTATACGAGTATATATAAGTAGATTTATCTATAGTATAATCTTTAGAAATGTTTATTCATGCATATATGTGGGTGGCTAACTAACTGAACGGATTATAAACATAAACCGTAATAACATAAACTATATTACACGCTCCCTGTTTTACACAAACAACTTTAATTATTTATATAGGACTGGATATACACTGATTCAGGCTATATTATTTCAGTCTATAACCCGTAAAACATGATTTTAAGTAAATTTTGGAATGGACTTTGGCCATGCGCCTGAATTATAAGGATAATATTTGAAATGTATGATGACGTTTTTTAATATAGTTAAATATTGTATATAATATTACTCGGTATAAGCATTTTTTTTTTAAGGGTTAGATTTTTCCACTGATTGGGAATTAATGTTTTACTCTCTTCATATAAAAATTATGTATGTCATTTACGACAGAATGTCACTGATCAAAAACTAAAAATCAAAGAAACTCTATCATTAAGTGACTTACTATTTTGGTATAACAGAAATAACAAAATATTTTATTTTGTACTTTGGCAGGAGTCCGTGGACAGTTTCTCTAGGAGAATGGCATAGACTACGGATATCACGAACAGGAAAATTAGCAGTTATGCGTGTGGACAATCAACCAGAAGTTCAAGTAAGAACTTCTTGAGTACTTATCAACTTAGAAATGTATGGTTATACAAAATAAATGAGATAACTTTAATATATTGATATAACTACGAGTATGAAAAACTTTAAATTGAAGTTAAACACTAAATGGCAGGTGTTTTCAAGCTCAGTGGCCTACAGCAGCGGTTCTCAAACTTTCTKGTTCGCGGAGCCCTTATATATTCCTAAAAAAAATACGGAGCCCCAAAAATCAGAAATGTCTATATGAGACAACAAAAATTCATAAAAAATGATGGCAATTGTAAATGATTTGCTTTTTATTTTTATTTTCTGTAAAGTACGAATATATAAAAATTATTTAATTAATATTAATAATTTAAATTTGATTAATACAGATATTCTCGGGGAGCCACGGAGCCCCTAGACTACTCTCGCGGAGCCCTAGGGCTCCGCGGAGCACAGTTTGAGAACCGCTGGCCTACAGTATTTGCATATATGAGAAGTCATTTATTTTTATTAACTATTAAAAAATTCAAGTTTGATAAAAAAAAAAATGAACTATTACAACCGCTATCAATGTTTTTCGAGTATTCCTTCATGAATTATACAACAATAAACATATATATTATATATACAAAAAAATATCAAATAAAGCAAAATATTTTCAGGAATATTTATAGTAGGTAGGTAGTCATTATTATTAGTGGAGAGTCAGTTGTTTGAACATAAATAAAACAAACAAAACAAATGTACTTGTTATTATAATTTTTAATAAAAATGTTTTTAATAAAACCATAGATATTTATCTACAATTTTAATTCACCACTTTGGTCCAGGTATTATCGCCGGGTGCATTTACACAGCTATCATTACCGTTAAGTATGTACATCGGAGGTGTACCCGACTTCGACACAGTACCGGCACAAATCAAGATTCGGACATCGTTCAAAGGCTGCATACAAAAAGTTCGTACCTACCTATTCAAAAAATATTATAATATTATATATTACCTTTTATTATTATATTAGGGTATAACCTATATAATATGCACACATCTGTATAAGTAACTTTGTGAATATAGTTAAGATATATGTCGAACRCGACTATCTAAAAATGTATACCATATTATATATTTTTGTGTGTTGCACATTATACTATATAGATAGGTACATAATATGAAGATGACAGATGTGGCTAATCAGAATGAAGTATTACGTTTGTCATAAATATTGGGACATTTTTTTAGATCCAATAACGTTATTATAGTTAACAATTTTACAGTTTATTATATCATAAAAACCTACACATATTTTACAATACTTACAATTTTAGTATAACAGTATAAATATAATGATATTATTATATTTTAAGTTTTATATAAAGATTTATCGACAGGTAACATGCGTCGTTGACTTTAAAAAAGCACATTTATTAAGTCCATTATTTTTTTCTAATATATTATTAATTATATAAGTACTCATTACTCAACCCTAAATTGAAACTTAATCATCCATTAGTTGAATGCTTCACGCATCAATAGTGCGGATATAATTTATAATCTACAATTTAATATAGTAATATTCTCTTTCAGCTCGACCTTTTTTTTGATAAAATACTAGTTTCAAAATATTTGCCATGTTCTTACGCTGAAAATTAGCAACTCGCATAATTGTATTATACACCAAGACTCACTGACACAAAATTCAATAAAAACATTTTATTATATACTATGACCAATAAGCTTTGAACTTATGGCTTTTATTCGTCACTTATTAGAAATCCGATAACATTACAGTAGCGTGCTACGGAGGAAGTTAGTGGTTATATTCCTACAATGTCCGATAAATCCGCTTATTTGTGTCTTTGGTATTACCACTACAATTCGTCTAAATGTATTATTAGTTATAACATATCTCCCCCTACACGTTGAAATTTTTGGACACGCCACTGAACATAACAAATGGTTAGAATATAAAAAACATATTAAAGTAATCATATTTTTTTTAAAAACAATTTAATTTATTGTAAAACACAATTGAACGTGACACATTCTACAGCACATGTATGTTCTTCCTGTCTCCTGTCACATTCTTTACATTTGCATCAATCACCCTCTTCCTCGTGTTKTATTGTGTTCTAGGCATGTGTCCAAAAGTCTAATGTTTCGATATAATGACAGAAAAATATTTGTTTGAAGAACTAGTGATGCTAAATTTTATGGACGTCTATTTTTTTTATTTGAGTGAGATGCTAATGATTTTTCTATAGAAACTCATCAAAGAGTTATTATCAAAAATGCCGTGAAAAACTTGAAAAATACATTGTTCACTTTGTGGGTATTTTCAATTTGTTTGTATCTTTGAAGTATTTCAACCAACTGTTACATACAGTCATTTCAAACACAAAACCACTCCATATCCATTCTTCTTTTACCCTTTATAAAACATCGATTTCAATTTTTTTTCCTGTATCCTTGTTGATCATAAAATAGTGATTACAAACATGGTCGAAATTTACGGTGGTGGCACACATTTTCTAGCGTAACTCATTTACTAATTTTTTTCTATAAATTATTTCACAGATTATTGATTAGACTTATACTAAAATGATAATTATTATCCTTAATCTTCCCACGAATTTAAATCATTTTATAACATTTAACTATTATAGTAATTCAGATAAAAAAATATTAATTAGCTCATCGAGATGAGCATGAAGATCTAAACAGTTTTGTTTTACAAACCATACATTAACACTTACATTACAATCTTAAAAAGGCGTATTTATTTAAGTTTGTTTAAAATGTTTTCAGACAATGGACATTGAATGCATGACCTAGCATATGTTAAATTAATTTAAAAACTTATATCATACGTGTAAAATATTTACAATAGGTATATTGAAATGTTGATTAAGTTTCTCTATGTTTGAATTAAACATTAATGCATTAATTCTTAAGTATTTAAATCGTAATTATTTTTTTGTTCTATTTTAAACAGAAATAATAAATGCTATCTAATTAATTCTGGTGCATTACTATACAAGTGCAGGTCCACGGTTAATTCAAAATTGAATTTGTATTGGTCATATATAGGTAATATACTAATATATTATAAATGACGGTCACATGCTTTTGAGAATTGTATAATTTTCAAGTAGGTATACTTCAAATAACGTACGCAATTCTTGCAGATGTTGCCACCGACCATTTTGTAATTTCGAAGTGATTTATAGATGAAAGACTGTGTTCAACACAATATATTGAACTGAATCAATTTACATTTCAACAAGCACTTAGTTATTTTAAATTAAAATCAAATATAATTTTTTTATCTTAATACTTCAGAAACTATATAAAGTATAAAATGATACCAAGTTACATGTACCTTGTATGAATATATTTTATTTTGTCATGACATTTTGATCATAAAATATTTTTATAACTGAGTATTCAATAGAATATTGAATTTATATAAAATATTCTAAAAGAGTTTGTATATTGTAATCCTTTTTATGTAATAAACTTGTACATTTGATATTCTTATACCTATCAAAGAATTTTTATAATTTCATTTTCAGTTTACTGCTACTTCTATATATTTATTTTTTTTTTTTTTTACTACATTTTCAAAATCTATGCATTTAGTTTCGTGTAGTTTACTGTATAAGTAACATCCAAAAATTCATTTTCTACTACTTTTTAATTAGATTAATTAACTTTCTCGATCAACAATTTACAAACCCGGTGTATGAAAGCAATTAAAAATACTCTTAGCACTATATTCTGGGAACTGTATCATTTCTTTAGAGTCGAGGACTTTATAATTAGATTAAAATCTTAATTAGGTACTATTGTCACAGTTTTTTTTAATGATAAACAGCTACGACACAACCATTTTTTTAACCCTATTTTGGGATAACTTTTTGCGTTCTGTGCTTATATATGATAATCATATTTATGACAAAACTAGAGTCTTAGGTATTAAGTGTACTACCTACCAATTATTTATTATTTTTCGATTTGATCCGTTTATAAATGATATAGTTGCCAGTATAGGGCAAATAGGAGATCAATTATTATATAGATTTGAGTAAATCTAGATGGTTAAAAAAATATGTTGTCTATGTTGACTAGAGTCCTGAAGAATCATCAGCTGTTTTATTTTGTGTTCTGTGTAGTGTCATTGAATTATAACATTAGCGACTAGCGTAACTGGTGAAGTGGAAGTGTTGTTAATGTTACATGTGGGCGTGTTTAGAACTGGTAGGATGTTGAAGTCATTTATCGGTATTACATCCCCCATGGTTTGCAATAGGGTAGTTACTGTTGCATACTGTGCAAATGCCATGAGACTCACGTGATTTGGTATATAATATAATATATGTTGTAATAAGATGGCTTTTATTACATTTGATTCACCAATATTGGTGAGGTGTATATTATGATCAACCGATTTTGGTATGACCAAGATATTGACAATTCATGTAGGTACTATGTAATTTTCAGTTGTTTATCAATTTCGATTTTCACATAAAATAAGGATGCCATACAAAAGAATATCATTATTATTCCCATCGAGCCTATAAAAAATAGTAGTGGTAGTGGGTTTTTGTTTTGGTGATAAAAGTATAATAATATTAATTAGGTAGTTATTGTTTAACAAAATGGCCTATTTCTTCTATTTATGAGAAAATTTTTGAATCATGTTCAGTTTTTTTGTTCTGTAAAATGAATGAACGTTTCTTACAGGTACACTTAATGAGCTTTAACAATATAATAGGTACCTACCATAGTTATGAATATCTGCCAAGTCTTGTACATATTATCGGAACAATAAAATTATAAGCCATTGTAAAATATGCTAATTATAGTCAACAATGCCACTTATTATAATTACAAAATATATACTTATATAGGTATAACACAAAATAAATATCAACTTATTTTTTTCAAATGCTAATCACCCTTTTTAGATTCTGAGCGGAGCAGTGAATGTATTGATCTTACAATATTGTGTTTTTTTTTGTGTCTGTGTACACAAAATCTGCTTTTTTTTTATAATCTGTTATAGCAGATGGCTTTTTTGAAAATGTTTGTATATTATCTTAAGAGCGATATGCAAACGACAATTAGTTTTTGAGTAATTTACTTTGCGTACTAGAGACAATAGGTCCATGCTTAGATCATATTACCCATGTCCCATATACAGTAATTTATATATTATAATCTAAGAAGCTATTCTAATTATAGGTTACAAGTTAGATTTCGACCCATCTACCTATTTATATATATAGTATATATATTATATAGACTATTATTATATTAATATAATTGTCGTTGTAGTATAGCAATTTGTAATAATTTCAAACATGTATCGGTTCAGGTGACCATCAACGAAAAACCGTTGCAAATCGTCCGTGGAGCACTGTCTGGGGCGAACGTAGCCAACTGCCCTCACCCATGTGTGGCCAAACCTTGTGGAGATGAGGTGCAGTGCGTACCAATATTCGACAAGTACAAATGTGTATGCGACAAACGGTGCAACTCGTCCGACGGCGATCAGGTGTCGTTCGACGGCACGTCTTTCGTGCATTACACCGGCCACGAGGTGCAACAAAGGTATTGCATTATAAACATCCATTTTAATTATAATTTAACGAAAATAACTGTTGCAGTGACTTACACGTCTTGCCTTAAATGGTTGGAAAAATATTATTACCTATAATATTTTTATTTATAATTTGGGGGAGGCAAAAAATAATTCGGAATCAACGAAACTAGAGTTACGACATTAATTGGCACAGATACCTATTAGTTAGAACCGATAAACCATGAATCTACAAAAAAAAAAAATGTAATTATTTATTTGGAATCGTAAGGATAAGCCACTAACAAACGTAGGCAAGGTTGACTAACTTGGTAGTTGGTATAGATAAATTTTGAATCTTTAAAAGCCTATTTTTTTTCAAAAGCATCTAGAGAATTTAAATTTCAGAGCCGAGATCATAAAAATCATAAATGTATAATTTTATATAGGTACCCTAACGATAAAATATAAAAATCGTTCCGGATAGTTAATTATCCCCCTCCACGAGAGTTTGGGCATAGGTAATAATATTTATGCATACTTGAATAATATACCTTATATTCGAAAACTATTTGATAAGAATTAACTGTTACAGCTTTTTAGGATAATTAAATAGCTAAAAAATAAAATTTTTAACAATATGGTTATCATAGTTAATTTTTTGTGACGGTCAAGAGAAAAATAATTGACGGCATATTAGTATTAGGCACATACTAGTATATTACAATCAATTTTAAGACCTAGCAACAATCATCTACCTAATTCGTTTTAGGAATATTACTTCTCCATTTACATATTTTCAATGGGTGGTATAAATACCTCCTAATTGACAATAACGCAACATGGTATCCTATAGGAAGGTACTAAGTATTATAATCAAATTTAAATTAAAAACATATTCACGCTTAATCTAGCGTTTGACAATACTGACGAAAATATACATGTGTTTTTTTTTTTTGTAAAAAAAATTAAATTTAGTTCATGGTAAGTACAAAAATGTAATATTTTCATTTTTTAAATGAATGGATCATAATATTATTATAAAGTTTAAACATGTAAATCTAAAACATGACCAACTATAAGGTGGTAAATTAGTATTTTAACAGTAAAACCATCGTTATTATTTTTTTGGTTCTGAGGTATAAGACTAAAAATAATTCATTATCCACATAAAATGTAATATTATTCATAAATGTTTTTATATCTAAGAATATTATCCAATTTACATAACTCTAAAATAGGTACATTTGTTACTAAGTATACATAAACATTATGGATTTATTTTTAGGATCACTGACGGACACTTGGATATAAATATGCGATTCCGGACTACTGCACTTACCGGACTCATATTGTGGACCGGGCGGTTAGACAGATCGGCCGACTTTTTAGCTTTGGGATTACAAGACGGTCGTATTGAAGTTACTTACGATTTAGGAAGTGGTGAAACAGTACTTAGATATAATACCACTGGATTACCTATAAATGATGGCAATTGGCACAGAATGAAATTTACTAGGTTTGTAGAAATGTTTTTGACACCTACATGATATTACCTTAATAAAACAGAGAATTTATTTCTATATAATATTATATAAGACGATTTTGAACAAAACTTACTTCTAATTATTATAAATAAATTAAGGTAGTGTATTTAAATATACCACAAATTATAAAATTATTATTTTATACATTTATTCAATATCATCTATTGTGGTCTGTAGATAAATCAATGATATAAATATTCTAAATATAATAGTAAAAATTGAATAACTATAACATTTTTGTTTTCTTTAATTTGAAATAAAAACTCTTAAATTAATAATTGTTAAATCTAGAGCAAATTAACTCTTTAAAATACATAATTTTTGGTACATATAAATCAGTACTCGTTAAATAATTAATATCATAATTTATAAACTATATTATAAAAAATAATGTTTATTTTTTATTTTTCAGAGATGAAAGGTTGAGTGCTTTAACTATAGACAATGGTACAAAAATGATAACGATCTCCACAGGGCGTTTAAAACAGCTCAACACAAATACAGGATTGTATTTAGGTAAGTCTTGTTTTATTTAATAGCCAATAGGTACCTTATTAAAAATTTGTAAGCTAAAATTACTCATCTTATACATTAATAAATTAACATAATTTACCTAAATGTTTCTGAAAAACTTAAGTCTCAAATTTATATTGTTCTTGGTAAGCCTAATATTATATTATATACAAAAACTCTTTCAATAGATTTTTTAGTTTTAATCCAAAATTAACTATTTTATAAAATAGTATTACATTTTTTTAATAAATTTATTAAATTCACTACCACACAGAATAATAGTGCACAATTTTATTTTATACTCTGCAGCCATTCTGGTTGTTTCTAACATTATTTAATAAAATATTCAGATATATCGGAGGACATTATTATATATGTGTATATATATGTTATAGAAATTACTCGTATAGGATCCATGAGGACTTTTTCACGATATTGACTTTCATTAAGTTTTTAATCATAATCTATCAAGTTTGTTTAATTTAAATTTTTTTTAAGTACGACGAAATTTCACTTAATTCGGTACATAATTTCAATATATTCCGTATAATTGGTTTTAATTAACACGACATTTTATCAATAACTCCATTTGTATATTTATACAATTTCGAACCTTATTATAAATATCTACATTAACCTCCAACGCTCGCATAACAATTTTATCATAATATTTCCGAGAAAAATAAGAAAAAACTTAAATTACTTTACAAAATAATATTTTCATTTTTGAGCCACAATATCAGTATGTCAGTATGCAAATAAAAATTTTAGATTGCATTCAATACCACAAACTTATAATTTCGAATCAAACAAGACCAATAGACTGCAGAAACCACAAATTAATTTTAATCTACAGATCAGAAACRTATTCCGAATGTCAAAAACTTTTACTGAGTTACAAAAAGATTTGGTAAAATCACAAAATGTTGCTTAAAATAATGATATTCTTTGACGTTTAATGATGTATGATTACAAAAAAATATGAAATTGATATTGAAACATATTGTAAAAAAAATATAGAATTTTACCATAGTTATTAAAACGAATGAGCTGATTATTAGCAGTTAGTAACTGACTGAAACTTATAATTTAAATAATATATTTTAAAGTGTAAATATAAAATTTTCAATTTTTGGATACAATAACGCAAAAAATGTGTGGTTTTAACCTACCTACTAAAAATGCACAGTCAGTGTTGTTGAGACTATTTATCTAGATAATTATTTAGTTATCTTTTATCTCATCTAGATAAAAAGTTGCATTTTATCTAAATAATTATCTAAGATAAAAAATTCATTCATCTAGATAAATAATTCATCTCTATACAAAAAAATATAATACACATTTTGATTGTCAATTTATTTTTATGATAACTAGCCAATACTTTAAATTTGAATTGTCGAGTAAAAAAAAAAATTATGTTCATAATAATGTTATTTATTATACAGGTATTATATTTTATTATTGATATTTTCGTTAGGGGCACGGTGATCAAATATTATACCTGCATTACATTTTGTTACRAGTCGTGTAAAATATGTAGTTTTTTCTTGATATTTATACTTAATTTAAAAAATATTTTTTTTCAGTTATACCTTAGTTATTTATTAATAATAATGTCTACTGCTAACATTATTTTCTCATATAGCCAGTGTTTATATGATATTGAAGTACTAAGTAGTATCAAAGGTGTACTCTTAAAATGTTTTGGATTTCAATTTTCAATGTGTTAAAACAATTTATCTTTTTTTTATCTAGATAATAATGTATTTATCTTTTATCTTTATCTAGATAAATATGAATTGTGTTATCTTTTATCTTTATCTAGATACATTTTTGTCCTGTTATCTTTATCTTYATCTAGATAAAAAAGTACTTATCTAATCCCAACACTGTAACACAGTTATGTCTGTATTTTATCTAAAGTGTGCGGTTTTTAATTCAACGAAATTTTACAGGATTAAAGTATTAAGTAAATTTAATTTTCTTCAAAATAAATTGGGCACTAATTTTTAGCACTCCTCACACATAGTTTATTATAAATTATTTAATACAATATATTGTAATAGTTGTGACGTACGAGCCAGAGAAGATATAATTATTATTTTATAGTATTTACTATTTACAATTCAGATAATTTTTTGTCACATTTACAATTTTTCATCACTAAACCTCTGGATAAAGAACAGTTTTTTTTTTAAATGCTCGTTCGGTTTTTAAACTAAAAAATCATTACTTATACATTAAAAGATTGCCTTTTGAATGCATTATGCATAGCTCAAAACTTCGGTTGTATACGATAAACAGAATAAAAATTACTTCAAATAACTATAATAATTTGAATTTTTATTAGTGTCAAAACTACAAAAGTTTTCTTTTTTGTTTTTGTACAATAATTATTATTAGTTAGTTTTAATATTTAAATATATTTATTCAAACACTAATAGGTATTCATCTTTGTTGTTATATTCAAAAAAAAATATCATGTAAGTTAATATTCAAATCAGAAGTTTTACAGAAATAATTAATTAAGTACATAGTTTCAATTCGTGTTATTGTTTGCTTATAAACTTTTTCAAATTCTAATAACTTTTTAGCACTTTTTTTCTAACGAGTAATTGGTTAGGGAGGTAGTAGGTAGTTGTTTATATTGCCCATTTCTCGACAACCATCTTGGTGCCAAAAACAAAAAAAAAGCATTTACATGTGTATAATATAATATACTTAATGCATAAACTTTTAGTTGGAAAAAATAAAACTAACAGCATTTTCCCTAGTGCACTATATACTCTCTCCAACAAAATTAACAAATATAATATGTAAATATGTAAAATATTTTTGTACAAATGGTATTATATAGGCACCTATATAGACGAGCGTATAGGTAGGTTTAATATTATATTAATACCACGTAAAAGATAATATGTTTATCATATTTTATTAATATTAATGTACAGTGACACAGTGTTCAATACTCCAATAATATATTATAAAAATAAATAATATAAACTATAAAAAAATATAATACAACAATATTACTCCTATAATAGGTTATAATAAAGTACTTAGTACATACTTGAGTACGATCGTATTAAACACATATATGGTGCTTGAATTGAAGAAAAATTAAAAGGGGCACACAAGTGTGGAAAAAAATGTACGTACCCGAGTAATATTTAAATTTTTCATTGAATAGGATATCACTAGAAAGGTATATATATAAATATTTATTTTTTTAAGAAGAGGGTCGCCTTTTTCTTTTTGAAAACAAAGTAGTTCACGAGCCCTCCAGTAACTCCCCCCTACCATTTCAGTTCAAGCACATTTTTTGTTTTAAATATTCTTATGGTATAATATGTATAGCCAAAACGCATTGAACCGTTTGTGATTTTTTGGAATTCATAGGAGGTACGGAGGACGTGGAGAAGTCTACGGAAAAGAGATACAGAAAAGGATTCGTCGGTTGCATTTCGGACTTTATCCTGAACACGGACTACCAAGTGAAACTGTCTTGGTCCACCGGCACAGAACGTGTTTGCATATCATAGAGCAATAATTAATGATTTTCTTCCTCCGGCACTCGTGCGCGCACGTACCCACTGAGCTTACGTACATAAACGTGTAAAAATCACGACGAAACATATTATTATATGATATATGAACCAAACCACTTTAATTGCGGTTTTTCTAACTGCAGGAGTGAAAATATTAACTTTATAATGTGTTTTCCTAACGTTTGATATCTAGTCTTGTATTGCAGTAGTTAAAGGAAATTCTGTTTTAGATTATCATCATTATTATTATTATTACTATTATTACTGTTGTTGTTGTTTTTGTAATACGAGTAAAATCGAGAAACCACTATGATAATTGGACTAGTTTCAAAAGTTTGAATGTTCGGTTTTAAAACACAATAACACTATAATATCATAACGATTTTAATAACATAATAATTATTAAATTATCATTACGCAATATGTATAATATTAATAATATTCATTATGTAGGTAGGTATATCGACTATCGACATTTTTCGAAGAAAGGACCGCAATATATTTTAATTCTGTGAAGGCTAAACTTAAACCTACCTACCACCCGCACGCGAATCATTTCAAATCGTTCGAGTATCTACAATGTGCATAATAATATTATCATTATTATTACTTCATATTAATATTGCGTTTTGAAACGAACAATATAATTCGCATCACGTTCGAACGCTCCTTGRCATTTTCCATACACTGATATTACCTACACTTTAAAGCTTACYATTGTAAATACCGTACCTACATCGAATACAATATCAGCCAATACAGAATTTCTGGACAAAAATAACGAAATTCAGTAGGGCATTGCTGGAAAAATAATTTTGTCTGCACGAAAATGTATTCAATCGAAATTTAATATGTTTTTAAAATCGTACAGCTAGTGATGATATTTATTATTTAATAATTAATATTATAATTATAATATTACCTATGTATAATTTTTTTTTTTTTTAACAATTTTTGACGATGAAATTTTTAAAATATTTTTCTACACCGGTGTAACGTCACTAATGTACCTATCAGCGACTCTTTTTAGTACCCATTTTCCTTTCTTCATACACAACATCATCGTTGCGTGCGTTGCATATTACTATATTTTAGATATTTCAATAAAATATTAATTACAAGGTTTTTACGTACATATCTTAAAGTTAGAAAATAAAAGTTGTAGACAATAACCCTTACAAAATCATATTGGTGTTTTTATATATATTGAATCGTGCAATTATAATTTAAAAATATTTATGATTATTAGTAAAATATTGTATTCAATTTGCTAAGACATCAAACAAGAACATTTTTAAAATAAGAACGCTGTTTTAATTTTTAACTGTGTACCTATTAAATAAAATTGGCACTTGTTAAGAATATTTATATACCTAATATACTATTATACTTTGTACAAAACTAAAATATCAACATACGTGTAAAAAAAAAAAAAACAAGTAACTCGTACAATTTATGAATACAAATAATGTACTTGTCAATTACAATGTTCAAAAAACATTAAATAATTTGTGAATTAGAACTGTGTAGTGAAAAATTCTACGTGTTAATTTGAAAATATCACCTAATCTGTTATTTAGCAAAAAATTAATATTGATAAGAACTTCTTGTGTACCTATCTGATTATCACCGTGTACATTATTTATTAGCGACTGATTAATTGAAATAAACTTTCCACAAAATGTTAAATGTTATGTTATGATAGTTTTATTTCAAACACTTATTATCATAGATCAGTTTAGATTAAACGAGAACAATATCGACGGTAGGTACATACATTAATACCTATCTCTATAAGCTTCACCCATGACCCATCATTCCAGATAATACTATACCACACTAAATATACTAATGCATATGTTGAAAGAGCAGCTTAAATGGAAGATAATGAGTTTGATACCTACCCAAAGCCACTCAATTGTTTGCAATATGATGCTTAGAAGAACATCAGAATAAGTACGTTGTAGCTCTATATTGGCCAATAATATTATTAATTATACTGTCTATATGACGCCTATTATGCTGAGCAAAAGTACTAAAACACTGATGTAGATATGTGCCAAGGTTATCAAAGCATTAGGTAGATTATAAAATACTTTAACGTATAGAGTTAAATATTGATTATTATAATTTATAAGTAATAGTAATATTGTAAAAAATTAGTGAATTTCGAATAAATATTAATACCTGGGTAATAATAATACGAATACCGAAGCAATGTCGAATCAAGACATTTTGTGCCTCRGRGCGAAAATTATACCTCCCTGATATCTTGCACCCTATGAACCCTATACTCTATAGTTCAGGGGTGGCTAACTAACCTTAACTTTGGGAGCCGCAAATTTATAAAGTTAATTCGAGGTGAGCCACACATTGTAAAGCAATGTTTTTAAAATAAAGATACATTTTTCATTTTAAAACAAATTAAGGAACATTTATTTACTTTTAATTTTAGTCTAAGTTTGGTTCAAGAGCCTCACGAAATTGATTTAARAGTCGCATGCGGCTCGCTAGCCTCGTTGTGRCCACCCYTGCGGTATAGTTTGATTTTTTTCACCATTGTCTATTTCTCAGAACTGTCAGAATTCTCACATTACATTATTATAAATATTAAGATGATATTGTGTTGTCATAGGCGTGCGCAGGATTTTGTGTCGGGTGCAGCATACATTTTTAACCGGCCCTAATGAACAATAAGCAGCCTACTTATTTCCTTAATAAAAATCGGGGTT